GGATGGGAGGCTGTAGGTTAGGCTGAGAAGTTGCAAAACTTCTGGCAAAAGGCAACGGCGGACACCTTGCTGCCAAAAACCCTGCACGGTTGTATCCATTTAATCACCAAGGTCAGCCCGAGGGAGACGTCGCCTTTCTCTTGTGAGACGCGATCGATCTCTACACGCTTGGTGGGCCACTGATTCGTTCTTCTTCCTCATCTCCTGATAGGGAAAGCGTTGGGTGGGCGGGGGCCGGGCAGGGTATCGTCCCCTGGGAAGGGATGTTTTGCAAAGCAAAGAGCTTGTTTGGACGGCCCTGGCGGAGCCACGCCAGGGTCACCGAGGAGCCAAGAGCAAGGAGGTCACCATTCCCTCAGCCAGCAGCCACAAACAGGAACCCGCCTTCCGCTGACCGTCTTCCAGAAGATGAAGGAGCTTTTGGAGAAGAAAGCAAGAGGAGACACTCAGAGGAAGACGTTACAATTAGTCAACTCTCTGTGGAAGGCAAAGGAGGAAGCTCAGAATATAAACCAGCATCAGGGAGCATTTGCTGGGATAAAAACAAGCATATGGGCAGTACACACACACAGACACACACACACACCCCTTGGCCTGCTGCAGAGAGATAAATTTAGCCAGCTGGCCTGAGGTCTTCTTTCTCTTCCCAGCAAAGGTATTGAGAAGTCAGGACTTAATCCTGGCCAAGAACAAGGACCAGTGGGACGTGGTGGGACGTGGTGGAAAGAATGGGGGGCGGTTACCCTACCTGTTCTCCAAGGACTTCAGACTTACCCATCTGCTCTAGGAAGAAAAGGAAGCAGCAGCTGAGTGGTTTTGCAATGTTTTGTTCCTGATGCATTCGGGATGCGTTTTCCAAGAAACACCAGAAAGAAAAACAGAAAAACATCGCCCGCCCTCGTGCTTGTTTTTTAAAAGCTCACAGAACCACTTCTTTCTGTTCACTGTACTTCGGCCAGATTCACACAACACGCCAGCCTAGGCTGAAATGGAGATAGCACCTCTGTGGTTCAACCCAGCCGTCGCCTTCTTGTGGGGTGTGGGCCAGCCACACGTTAAGCCATGGCAGGGTTTATTTTGGGGAGGACTAGCGTGAAGAGAGGAATTCAACAGACCAAAAAATGCATTGTTTTTCCGAAACGTGTTTATTTTGCAGGAGACTCTCTTCAACAACCCAACCGCTAATTAAAAGATCACGCCAGATAAATTTGCAAGCCCAAGCTCTGAGATATAAAACTGCCAAGAGTGAAACGGAGCAGGCCTCTCTTCCAGATTGGTTCCAACTTCCAAGAAGGTCCCCAAGGGTGGAGCTGCTGAATGCAAACACACAAACGGCGATGATGTTTAGCAGAGCTCTTTGCACCGGCGGGTCCACGAGATCAAGCTCTCTCGGGCAAATTGCTTTGGCATGACTGAGCCCAAAAGGAACAGCGAAAAAAGAACGGAGAAAGGCAGTCACATTAAGCTAAGCTTTGAACCGTAGTTTACAAACCATGGTGGCTGAGTTCACACAACACCAAGCTCAGCTGAACCCAAATCAACGTGTCTGGTGCACGAATATTCTTCTCCTTTATCTTTCCTCATCCAGAAAGGCCCGAAAGAGGCTGCATTTGCACGACGCACTGGACAAACCACAAAGCTGGCACCCACGTTTTGCAAAGCCAGCTCATGGCATCAGTTTATGGTTCCATGTCGTAAGAAAGAAGCAGAGGAAGCAGGAAAGATTCAGAGAAACTCCACAGAATTATCAGGGCTGTAGAATTCAGGTTTTAGGAAGGGGGGTTGAGGGAGCTAGGTTGGGCTAGCCTTGAGAAGACAATCCTGGAGAAGGGGTTGGTGGGGGATAAGATAATCAAATATCTGAAAACACTTGAACGGAGTAGAAGAAGGTGAAGCTCTGGATTCTGCTGTTCTTCCAGAGTACAGGAGACGGAATAACACGTTCAAGTTATAGGAAAGCCAATTCTGATGGGACGTTAGAAAAACTTTCCTAAAAGAGCTGTTGGACAGTGGAACCTGTGACTCAGAGGTCACTTGGATGCGTGCAAGTGTGCTCGGGATGCTATAATTTGGAGTGTGCACTGTTGGTCTCCATGACCTCAGTGACCCCTTCAAACTCTAGGACTCTTATTATTGAGATGGAAAATCTCAGACGCATCAAAAGCCGGCTTGAAGGCTCCCATCAGTCGCTTTAACTCCTCATCTCAGATGTATAGGGCACAGGCTGTAATGATAAAGCATGGCAGAATTTTACGGATTCTGGGCCCGTGCCACTCCTCTGGACACCAGTAAGCTGGTGGCTCTTACTCAGTTCAACCCTAGATAAGTACATAAGGTGACATTCAAACCAACCCCTTCACCAGGTTCAGCAACATAAAACGGATTGGGGGAACCGAACTGAGGGTGGACCCCAGACTGGGCTGATTCCTCTTTGAAATCAGAGTCCCCACCCCTCAAAGGGAAGCCACGAGGCGACTGGGGGGCCTTGGTTCTGCAGAGCAAATTTCCCAAGGCAGCCGCAGACTTCAAAGACGACCCTCAGTGTCTCTCCCTTTGCTTTCCCTTCCTGAAAGGAAAAGGCAGACCCCCCGTCTTTCTTCCTGTTTATGATCCATGATGGATGCCGCTTGGATCCTTCCTTTGCTGCTTCGGGTTTGGTGAGCGTTAGGGCTCATCCCCACATCCCCTGACTATGGCACTAACATGCTCTGATACCATCTTTTTCTGCCACGTTCCCAAGTGTCGCCCTCCTCTCATCCCTTGCCCAGCGTTGCGGCAGCTTAACGTTGTCTTCAGCCGTTCCAGTTTGAAAGGACTCTTTTCCCTCTTCTTACAAACACATTTTTGCTGTGGACCCAACTAACCGCCGTCACTGATAGTTTGCTCCTGACACGGCCAGGAGCAGCACCTGCCCGATCTTATTGGCTATTTTAGACTGCGGCAGACCATGCCCCCTTTCAGTCGCGGGCACTGCCCTTCATGGTTATTTTGGCTTTGGCTGCAGGACAGACTGGACATCTGGCTTCTGCAGGGACATCTGTCCACGCACTGTCTGACCATTCCTTTCCAAGTGATTGTCAGGTCCTTATTAACAGGCCCTTTCGAAAGAGCGCCGCTAGGCTTACTTTTTGAAACGGGTTCAGTGGTCCTTCAAAAGAGCACCAGTCTTGCGTTCAGAAACAGGACCAGCACGTGAGAGCACTAGTTCTGTGCTGCACAGATGATCAATTTAATTTGGGAAAGTGAGCTGGGGGTCACTGGTTCTGTCATCATCAGATGCATTACAGGTTTTCTGCTGTTTATGCCCACAAGGGGATTTGCATTTTTCTGTTTTTATCACTTCACAAGGGAGCTAGTTTACCTTCTTTATTCCAGCTCCTCGGCCATTCACGGGCTACTTCTGGGTGCTCCCATCCATCCCTGAGGACAGAACTGGGTGCTCTGCCAGGGCAGCTGTTCCTTTGCCGCCCTAGTTGCGGGTGGAGCTCTCTTGTTGTCCGTCCGTCCCTCCCTCCCTCCTGCTTCCTCCAGTCAATCAGCTGGAATATTTTTAGACCCAGGTTAGTGCTCTTTCAGAAGAGCACTAGACTTGTATTGAGAAATAGCCCAACTTGACAGGTAGCTAAAGATGCTGCTCTAAGCAGCCTCCACCCAGCCCTGCCCAACCTCACGTTGGGGAGAATCGTGGGTATTTTCCTGCCAGCAGCCCATACCTGATGAAAGGGAGGCCAAGCCAGAGGAATCCACCAACTGCTTTCCTGAACTTGCCCCGTATTAAAACTGTAAGGACAGTGCCAGTGAGTGGCCTTGGGGCTGTGGCAGAAGAGGGCTTGGCAATCAGGGCAGCGCCTTTCCTGCCAGCTCAAGGGATCGATGGATCTCCCTTGAGCACAGCTGCCTTTCAGCGCCCTTCGAAAGCCCAGAGTAAGTGAAAGCAGGGATTGTGGTTCAGACAGCTTGCTACATCTGGAGGGCTTTCTTTCAACCGCGTCCTTTTTGACAGTGAACCACAGGGCAAGCATGCTCTGGCAACCTCTTTTTTCTGCGGGGACCTTACAACGCTGCCTTCGTCCCATCCCCAGCCTACGTCAAGGACAGTCGTATGTCTGAATCGCTGTTAAGCTAGCATTTCCCCCTTATTCCGACACTGTCCAAGGGTAGCCTCGAGGTGCATGAAATCTGCTTGGTTTTGTCACGGGTTACTGGGAACAGAAGGTGGGCAAGAGAAAAGCAGTCAGGACAGCGGTTTCATGCAGGTCACTTTTCCCAAGGGCAGTAAAGAGTCAAGTGGGGAAAAGCCCTCAAGCTGTGGTTGGAACCCTGCCCAGTGCTCTACTCAGTAGACCATGGTTTAACAATCCATGCAGTGTGGCACAGTGCATTTCTGTGAATTGGTCCTAAAGACACAAACATTTTGGATAGAGTGGTAGGATATCAATCTAACCAATCAACAGAACAAATACAAATAGTAGCATTCCTGGAGGAATGCGCCACCACCCTGGGCCAAAAGCTGTGAATTCTTTTCCATCTTCTGACAAGTCCTCCGTTGGGCTTTGAAGGGGCATCTCCGATCCTTTGGGGAGAGGAAATTAGCATCAGGAATTGCAAAACAGCAGCTTCCACCTGAGCTAAGTGTTAATTAAAAGCAGATCACCTTCCTGAAAAAGGTAGGAACTTGACTAACCTGCGGATATTTATAGAGATTACAAGTTTGGGTTTTTTCCCCCCCTTAAATACCCATTGGAAAAAAGAAGAAAAATTGCCACCCAGGGTTTACACTGGGGGGTGGCTATCAGGCTTTCTCATTGTTCCCTGTTGCAGGATGGGGGTCGTGGGGGGGGAAGGGTTTTCCTCAATGGACGAAGGAATCCTTTTCAGCAGTG